GGTCATTTCCTTTTTTTTTTTTTTTTTTAAAGATTTTATTTATTTATGTGACAGAGAAAGACACAACGAGAGAGGGAACACAAGCACGGCGAGTGGGAGAGGGAGAAGCAGGCTTCCGGCGGAGCAGGGAGCCCGACGCGGGACTCGATCCCAGGACCCCGGGATCATGACCTGAGCCGAAGGCAGACGCTTAACCGACTGAGCCACCCAGGCGCCCCTTTGTTTTGGGTCATTTCAACACCCAACGTGTCAGAAGAAAATAAACGGATTGCTAAGTCAGCAGAACCACTTCCCTGGACTCCTGGGGCCTCACTGCGGGGTGCTAGGATCTAATGAACACCGTCAGTCAACTGTGCTCCAGCCGAGACATTGCTGGAAGTAGACCATTTTCCTGGGGCTTTATTTTTTTTTAAATGACATTCTCCCCTTTCCCTTGAAGAAAATGGGGCTGGAAAGTCATATTTTTATCATTGCTGACTAAAGGAATCCAAGGATACTATGTCAGTGTTCACCTTTCATTTATAAAAGCCTCAATGCAGTCAAATATATAAACAAAACATTATATTGTTATTTCTTCAATGCCCGTTTCTGCTAAAGAAGTCAGTGTTTCTGTAAAATGAACAGATATCTAATGGAGCAGTGCAACAATCCCTCCTCGGGGGTGTGTCTGGACATCTGCGGGCCAATAGACAGGTATCCATCTGTGGGGCAGAGCATGAAGGCTTAGACACCGTTCACCTGCATTCTGGAAGGATGGTGGGCCTCCTTCTCCCACCAGGGCGGAGACGAGACTGCCCACCTGGCCTGGAGCATAGATGCTTGAGGGAGGGTCTTGGGGAGACCGGACGTCCACACTGTCCATGCACTAGTCCTGTGATGAGCATTGTTTCTGCCCCAAGTGGGAAGGGGAAGGTGGAACCCACATCCTCCGAAGGCTGATGCAGCCCTCCCAGTAGGAGAAGAGCCCTGCCGTCGGTCGACCCCTTGCCAGAGTACCTCTCTAACTTCACATCTCATTTAGGAGGATGCTGGAAACCAGGTTGCTTTATGGATCACACTGGAAGAACCGCTTCTTCATTATGTACAAAAGAGCTGGTGAAGAAAGAATGACTGAGGTTGTGGAAACTCTATGCTCTGAAGAGAATATTTGGGAAAACTTTGTGTGATGCTCAGAGCTGATTGCAAAGCACCATCAGTGAAGGGTCCTTGGGTCAGACATGAACCCCAGACGACATGAAAAGACGTGTCACTTCCCCATCTTGCTTCTCAGAGCGATGCTCATCAGAGCTTGGCCAGGATGGGGCTGAGGAGCAGGAAGCTCATGGTCAAGCTGCACAAGTCCAGGTGTGCTAAGAAGAGTCGGGCCTGGATTCCTGGGCATAATGAATTAAAGAGAAATTTCAGAAAGCTAAGGGTTCATTAATTCCCAGTGCTTAAAGAGGAAAATAATCGAAGTCTCTAGGACCAGTGCTGCCTGCACACTGACTGTTGCGGGATCCCATTAAGGATCGTGGACCAACAGCCACTCAGCTGTCAGGCTGTCCCACATCGGGGGGTAAACCTGAGAGCACACAGTGTCAACGACCAATGTCCAACTAGAGATTGCTCCAGCCAAGCATCATAGTCAAGCCAGACACCGATACTCCCGGCTGTCATGTTCTTATCTGTAGACATTCGCTATCCCTGCTGATGTCTGCGTGTTATTGCTGTGCCCCATGATGGTGAGGACAGGGCCACCCCTCTGTGCATCCCTCACTGTAGCTGACAGGGTGGTCTTCAATGTTGCTGTCCTAGGAAGTAGCAGCCTATGGAGAATATGCGGGAGCAAGCTCAGACACTAAACTTCCTCTGTTTGATAGAATTAAAAGCAAACTGGTTCTGTCAGAGATAATGCTTTTCTTTCTCTCTTAAAATCCAGCTGGCCTGGCCTAAATTACGTATGTGGGAGGCAGGAATGTAGAAACAGCTCAAATCTATTAGTATCTTACTCTTTGTCAAGTATTCAACAGTCTGGATTGGTTACTTTCCTTCCATTGCAAAGCAGCAAAATCTGTTCTCCAAGGATCCATGTGTCTGAGACAGCTCCATCCCCAACCAGGACCCCCTAAAGCGGGCCCCAATTATTCCCTATTTTAGCGCTGATTGTCTAATTTGAAAGCATCTAAAAAAGGAAATGATACTTGGTACTAGTATCCTTCTCCATCACTTTCCAAAAGATGTGTTAAGGGAATATTTAGCCCAACCAGTCTAGAAACCTTTTTCACCTCGTAATGATAAACCAGTTCTTTCTGCTTGAAGGAAGAAATGTCTGCATTAGGCCCATGAAGGAAAAAACACCTGGTAACAGGCATATGAAAAAATGCTCCATATCATATGTCATCAGGGAATCGCCAATTAAAACCACCACAAGATGCCATTACACTCCTATCAGAGTAGGCAAGTCCAGAACACTGACAACTCCAAATGCTGGCAAGGATGTGGAGCAGAAAGAACCCTCGTACATTGCTGGGGGGAAGGCAACATGATCACTTTGGGAGGCAGCGTGACAGTTTCTTACAGAATGAAACTCACTTTTAACCAAACGATCCGACATGTGTACGCACCTGATTGAAATGAGTTGAACATTTATTTATGTCCACACAAAAGCCTGCACATGAATGTCCATAGCAGCTTTACTTACAATTGCCAAAACAGACGCAACCAAGATGTCTTCCAATAGGCGAGTGGATAAAGAAACCGTGGCCCATCCAGACAGTGTGGTATTATTCCGAGCTAAGAAGAAATGAGCTATGAAGCTGCAAACAGACCAGGAAGAAACTTGAAGGCATATCACTCAGTGAAAGGAGCCAAACCGAAAAGGCCACATGCTATATGATTCCAACTACACGACATTCTGGATCATTCTGGATAGCAGAACTATGAAGACAGTAAAAAGATCAGAGTTTGCTAGGGGTTGGGGGCAGGGGAAGGGATGAACAGGTGGAGCACAGAGGATTTTCAGGACAGGGAAACTACTCTGTATGGTACTAGAATGATGGATACACATCATTATGCATTTGTCAAACCCATACAGGGTACAACATCAAGAGTGACCGCTAGTGTAAACCATGGACTTCAGTTAAGAATAATGTATTATTATAATAATATTATTATTTCATTATAATCATTTCTTTTTATTCATCATTTAAATATTAACCTATTTTAGTTATTCAATTTAAATGCTATTTACATTTTACTCTATTTGAATTATTACTGTATTATTAATATCTCCAATTATTACAAATGCAGCATGCTAACGGAAGATGTTAATAGTAGGGAAACCATGTCCGGGGAGAGAAAGGTAGATGGGAACCCTACTGTCCATTCAATTTCTGATGCTCTGATTTTCATGGGGCTGTGTTCCAGTGCCCTCCTGTTAAAGGCAGCCAGGAAAGCGGCCAGGTGACTCTGTGAGCTCTTCAGAGAGCCCTCGTGCTGGACAGACTTCTCAAAGGCAGGTGTGTGAACGCCAGCCAGGGGCCAGGACAAGTGTGCCACCCATTTGCACAGCTAGTCCCTTCTGCAAACCAGGCACTGTGGAGGGAGAGTTAAGGAGAGGTGGGACGAGCCTGTCCCACGTGGCCACAGCTAGCTCAGGTGGCACTTTGGGGCAAGTTATAAAAAGGTGCCCTTCTTCAAGACACTTCACATCTACCTGTCAGAAAATTGTCACAACGTGCCGATTGTTTCAGAACAAGACACTTCCATCTGCTAGAAAACTGTTTTGAGAAATACAAGCCTGTACTGTTCACACCTCTGAGGGTGTCCCCTAAATGTGGTGCCCCGACACAGCCACCACCCATCAGCTCCTGGCACATCCTTCCTGGTGTGACAGACCAGGACCCTGAGAAGCTTCCTTCTCCACACTCAACATACCCCAGCCTAGGAGCAAGAGACATTTCAGATGATGGTCAGAATCCCTTTGTGCAGCCTCATCAGGGGCCCTTTGTTCTTAGATTAATAGCAAACAAATGGGCTATTGTTCCGTATTTCTGTGTATTTCAATCAGTTAGTTTAACTCAGTTCTGCCTGATTAGGAAGGTTTTCTACCTTGAGCTCCTTAAATAGAGAAGTCTTGGGGCACAATCCTAAATCTCCAGGGGACAGACTCCCCACACATCTCCCTCCAATACTGAGTGGCGACTTGAATCCTGAGAAAGCCCTGTGGCATATCTTATGTGCTTTTTTTTTTTTCTTCATATTAGAAGTAACAGTTTAGTTTAGGACAAGAGATACTATTCAAAGAAATATAAATAATAGCCTCTACTGAGAGCTTTCATTGTGTTGAGACTAATCCGTTGGGAAATGCAAAATTACCAAGTGAATGCCAAGAGAGAGAAGGGGAAACAAGTTGCCCACTTAAATAAATAAAAAAGAACATGATATTACATTCATTTTTATTAGGAAATATGTCTTATGATAGCCTCCGATTTTTCCCTTTCTACTAGAGCAACCCCATCCTGCTCTACAAGGAGGAACATCCTCTCAACATTTTCTCCTATAGCCTGGCCTCCCTCTGGTCTCCTCATTCTCTTGACAAGCACTCAGCACCTGCGCGTGCCAGCCTCAGGTGCTTCGGAGATGTATACAGGACATTTCTTTCTTTCTTTCTTTCTTTCTTTCCTTC